TACTTTTTCAACTTTTATAAAAATATTTTTTTAATTATTTTAATTAATTTTTTTGATTAATCCCTTGGAAGATATTCTACTATTATTTCCATTAAACGGATCATATAGATTTAGTTCTATATATTTTTAACTATTATTTTAATTTAAATTATATACAAATTATATACAATTGAAATTAAATTTTAATTATTTTTGTAAATGATTAAATTTATAAATAAAAAATATTATTTTTTATTTATAAATTAATTTATAATTTATAAATTAATATTTACAAATTAATTTAATATAGTTTATATAACATAATTTATCATTCTAAATATATATATCGTATATTAAATATTATATTGTAATTCATAATATAATTTTATATTCCTATATAGTGCATAAAATATAGGGAAAAAATAACACTTTATATTATGCAAAATGATATATATATATATATCAATATTTTATTGCAAATATTTCGTACAGATGTGAAAATTATTAAGAAAATGTTATATATCTAAAATATACGTGCAATAAGTACCTGCTAATAAATATGTAATATAATAATCAGAAATAATAGATTTGAATAATCTTTAATTTAAGTGCTTACTCCTATGCATCCTATATTTCTTAAAATTTTTAAGGACATACATAGACATATTTTTCAAAATTGAAAATTTTTTTTATATTAAATATTTTTTTATATTTCATTAGTTATGGTTTCAATAAAATCGCACATATATAATTTCCTAAAACAACATAAATTTTATATAATTATGTAAAGATCAATAAATTTTTAATTATAATAATAAACCTTAATAACTTATTAGAACAATCATAATAAACAATATAATAATTAACGAAAGTAATGATACATTGTATTAAATTTATAATATAAAAATACTATGTATGCGGAAAATATATAAATAAAATATTATGTAAAATTGATACACATTTAATAAAAAACTTTATACTTCAAAAAATTGAACTAATATTTAAATTGTTTTATAAAAATTCGCAAATTTTTTAAATAAATAAAATTAAATTTAAAATATATTTTCTATATAAAAAATAAAAGAATAAATTTAATATAATTCTTAATTTCATAATTTTAATTAATATAAATGAATATTCAATTGAACTTGATAGTTATTATGTGAAATAAATATATTTTTCACATATTTCATTATGTAAAATAAACTATATAAAATGTGATTGTTGCTAAAATAAAAAAAGAAAGAGTATAGGCAATTATTATCTTTACTATTTTTATGTGCTCTGATTGTGAAATACGATTTTTTCCGTGCCTATACCTAGAGTTTCCTAATTCTGGCATTAATAATAGAGGTTCTAAAAGTAATAAACTGGATCTATTTGCGCGATGATCGATTACATCATCTTGTTTGAGATTGTGCAATCGTAAAATATCATTACGATAATTCATCCAGTTTTGCAAATCAGTATCGTATCCAACATGTTTTATAGAACTTAAAATATTATTATGGTTCATATGAAACACTTTAGGTGTAATGCCATTATTTGATATTCTCGTATAAAAATTACTTGCACAACGATGATATAACTCTGTATTTATTACTCCTCTGGTATTATTATTTATAATAAAAATATTTGGTTTTAATGTTGTTTTCAAATCAAATACATCTCGTGATGGGCCGTAAAAATAAAATATACTAGAGGCATTAGTTTTTAAATAATTATAAACTAATAAACAATGTTGAATATTATCGTATTGCAAAAATAATGTATTGTCACATTTATTATCTTTTGAAGAATATCTAAAACATAAAGTTTCGTTCTGTTGAAGCAGATATACTTCTTTTGCATATAATGGCTTTTTTGCATATATCAAACGATCAGAATATACTGGACTGCCTTGTAAATTGGCACATTGTTTACAAATTTTATATCGAGGAAGAAAAAGTGTATTTATTAATGTTTTTGCTGTCGTAGGACTATATTTTTCATAATAACTTATAATATCACATTCAAAAGCATTGACTTCTTCATAAACGTGATCTATTTTTGATGAGTATTTTGTCATTGCATTACTTTCCCCTGTATTTGGTGTCATTAATATTGTACAAGTGTGATCATTTATATCATCTTTAAGTTTAGTTAAAGATTTACTTTCATATTTTAAAGGTTCATTTCCATATATGAATTGTTCTGATTTATGACATTTATTTTCTGTTACCATTGATAATTCGGTAGTATTTGATATACTTTCAATTATTTCTAAATTATTAATAACTGTAGGCGATATATAATCATGTTTAACATCTATTTGATTTTCGTTTTCTTTAAGTCCTTGAATTAAAAAAACATCATCACTTGTAGGTGTCATGTCAGCCTTTATAAATTTGCACGGTGGCATGTTAGTTTTATCTACGTGCGAAATATCAAATGCGTGTGTTTCCGTGCTCGGTGTTTCTATAGCTGTGTTAAATATATGCCATTTGTTATTGTGACATTTGTTTCTAATACTACGTTCTTTTTCTAATCGTAAATGTTCTAAGTGTAATTGGCGGTGGTGAACACACGCAAAATTATATCAATTCGTTCTTTCATTCTCCTCAGAACGCAATTCCCGTTTGATTTTATGTAAATCATAAAGAACCTAAAAATATAATATAATATCAATTATTAATAGAATTATATAATAAAATATATTTTACTATATATTTTATTATATATCATCATGTATACAAACTTCTAGGATAGAAGCAGCGCTCCAAGCTTGCGACCTACAACTATCTTTGCAATATTCCCCATTTTTGTTAGTAAGTTCTGGAAGACCTCTCCAATGATTTGTAGATGCTTCTATAAAATGTCGAGAAATAATAATTTCAGTTGATTCAATTGTACGGCATAATTCTTCTTTTCCACCAA